GTTATCAATGGGAAAACCCCCTGCCTGACTTGCAAAATTTGTCGTGTTGGGATGACGTCTCGCATTTCATCAGATTGAAAGTGTCAGCTCTGCTGGGGACTGAACCTATCTAAGGGTGAAAAACCCTGAAATTGCCCCTGTCGTATATTTTAAGGTTATTATTAAGAGTGTATTCAATATGGTATGTAGTATGAATTAATGCCCATACAAATTTAATAAAGTTGAACATACTTTTCAAAGACTGCTTGTGATAATGTGCACTTTTATCGCCTGAAGGAAACTATAGCAGCACCAAGATTAATTAGGAAAACCAATAAATGCACGTATCATAAACAGAATTATTGTGTAGAAAGATCAAATGAATTCGTATAAGGTCTAATTTGTCTTGAGTGTAGGAGCTACAGGTTTTGAACAGACGTCATGGGCTTTGTGGACAGTCTGAGTCCTGAGTCCTGTCACAGAACCCCGCCTGTGTCTGTGTAAGGCCGACTTTGTTTGTGACAGAGAGGCATTGTGGGAATATGAGAGCTCCCGTGCCAGTCAGGCAACAGACACCGCATCTCTGAATATTAATCAGCAGGGATGAGCCCAGTGTAAACATGTCAAACTAATATGTATTTCTTATTAATCTGAGAATTATACAATTGTTTAATTATAAATAGCAGTAGGACTTCGGTTACACATGAATATATTTGGATAGATTTATATGAATATTATTTTTCTTACCTGTAGTGAGAAGCAAGATTTTTGTTATTTTCTTAAGTATGTTTACTGGTAGTATTGGATTACTTGTTACTAAAATAATATTAAAGGCAAAGATTTGAACAGTATTCACATTTACATGAGGCATACCCATAAAAGGATTTTTAAACTTTATTTTTTAAACAGCGGATATCTAAAATCGTGAAAAAGATTTTAAATTGAAATATATTCAATCAATTACTGAGGCATTAGAGTCAGAATAAATTATCAGGAGAAGTAGTAATTGAAAAAGTACTCTTATTTCAAGTCCGTTTTAATTTCCCTTGTAGTAATATCATTGTTAGGCAGATGTATATCAAATATGACCTCTGGGCATGGCTGATAATGACTGATAAAAATATTTGGATTTCCCCAGTAGACAATGAACACCATGACACCTGGAAAAAAAACTCTAGCTAGTTTTGTTTGAAATAAAAATGGAAATGTGGGGTGTGGTTTGGGCTGAGGGAAGACGCTGTGTATCCATGTAGGCGAAGGCGGTGTGGCGAACCCACAGTGAGGGCTGTGGCACGTCAGGGCAAAACAAAACAGAACACAAACACATCACATGCAAGAGCAAGCAGGCTGGACTGGGCTGAGGGATTTTACCACTTGAGGTGCTGGGAGGCCAGTAAAGATGACAGTGCAGGTATGATACCCACCAATACTTCTAGTCCTGATAACATTTATAAAGTGGCGAAATGCAATGACCCATGCTAGCGGAAACATTCTGTTATATCATGAGTAGATGTTCCTATTTTTCTTAAGCATAACAAAAGGAGAACTGCAATTTTTGACCATCTGTGTTGGTTATGTTGTGTGGGGTCTATAAATTACATTGGAGATAAGAGTGATTTTACCGTGCTGTCATTGCTCCATATTATTAAAACTGTCACAATAGACACATTCATAATATAAACGTCACGTACAGGAATGCTAAAAAAAAAAATAGCTATCTGGCTGGCTCATTTTCTACCGTTGGAATGCTATTCTTAATCAGTCCTACTTATTGTTTATGCCAGAACTGTGGGCACGCATTGATGTCAGAAACCCGTCACAGAAACGGTTTGGGGGTGTTTTTTGTCTTCGTCATTGTGAGACAACACTTTTACTGTTTACTGTTGCCTTGAACTCTGTTATCCATCCACCACATCCAGGTATCCAGTACAGGGTTACAGTAGACCAGTTCATACTGGCTCATACTGGCATTGTCTCATTGTAGCCTTAGACCATTTCACTGTGAGGCAAGCTCATCTTTGACCCCCAGCTGCAGTGATCTTAAAACTTCAGGCCTTGACTGGTGGCATTAGCAGTGACTAGTGAAGTGATTAGCAGTGTTTCTAGCTGTGACCTTCAGAGTGGGCAAGCAATCTGGCCTGGCAGTTTGAAGTTTTTCATTTGTAGGAATTGTTGCCTCTGATCTAAGAAGGTGTACTTTGATTTATTTTCTGTAAATATTTATGCTTTTTTCACCCCTTCCATCCAATGCCACAAAATGCCGTTCCTGGGACATTAAAATTCTAAGCGTTTATGTGACAAAGATAGCAGCGTGGCCCATACTAAGCCGTGAAGGTGACTCTGTGTGAGGATATGACGGCCCAGCTGGGGAATGCTTCATCTTCAGTTCCTCCCTGGGCCTTGAACATGCCTACACACACAGCTCTGCGTGATTAGACATCTCTCTCAAAAGGCGTCTGGTGTAGGGTAACTTCCTACTGTACGTTCCATTTGCTCTCACTCCAGGCTTTATTTGTCACCCATGTTCATTACCAAGCAACCTGGGACATGGCACTGCTTAAAACAGGGCCTGAGGTGGCTTGGTGATGTCAAACATGGAGGGGGGGATCTGTGGTTGAACATGCATAGTTTACCCAAGATCTGTGGTTGCCCAGGATCTGTGGTTGAACATGTGTAGTTTACCCAAGATTTGTGGTTGCCCAGGATCTGTGGTTGAACATGCGTGGTTTACCCAAGATCTGTGGTTGCCCAGGATCTGTGGTTGAACATGCGTAGTTTACCCAAGATCTGTGGTTGCCCAGGAACTGTGGTTGAACATGCGTAGTTTACCCAATATCTATGGTTGCCCAGGGTCTGTAGTTGAACATGTGTAGTTTACCTTCTTATGGCCACTGTCCACATTCTCTGTTGCATCCATAAAACTCCTTCATTATTTTTAGTAAATCAATTCTTCAACTTATTCCTCCACTTATACTGTTCTTTGTCTTATTATGTTTTTCGATTCTCTTTTCACACTAAAAGATAGTCAAAAGCTTATAATGATATAAGTTATACAATGATGGTGGTCTTCTTACAATGATTAACCAGCTGTTCAAACAGTTAACACTGTTCAAGCTGTTTCTGTGTGATCCATGTTGAAGCGCATTGAAATTCCTGGACACCCACTTTTTCTCAATGTGCCAAAATTACTGACATGCCTTTTGTGTGGCCCTCGCCTCTGTTGAGCCCACTAGGAGCCCCCATGCCTCTCTGTGCCAGCAGGCTTTTCACTCCTCCTGTTTTAGAAGCCTGGTCCGTAAGAAACTACAGCTTCACCACACAGACTGTGTGAAACCTGCCGTAAGGAGGACTAACTGAAACAAGTACAGTGTTTAGGCGTTATATGGTCTTTGGTTTTTTTTCAGCTTCATCCTCTGTCATTGGTTAAAAAACTGTTCATTGTGCAACAGAAAAATATACTATTTAAAGTGACCTTACCTCACTGTCGCTATTATTATTATTATTACTATTTTTACGGATTCCCGAAACACAACTATTTTTATGAGCTGTTTTAATTAACCATTTTAATTAAATGAATTTTGTTCACAATGTCTTCTTAGAAGACAGTGACCAAAATTTGGTTTAATTTGTATAATTTTATATACATATATATTGTGTTATAAAAACGTTGCTTTTCACTTCTGAGATGGACCTGATTTTTTATTTTTAATATTATTCAGCCATTTTAGGTGTCATTAAAACTTACAAAAAAAAGCAAACAAACATTCCATTCACACAGTTTCACAGTCAGGCTGCCAACAATGGAACCTACACAACAGATGTCAGGATCAGCAGGAATTTCACTGCTCATTTGCCATTTGCTTAGGCCCATAGACAAGAACAATTTTGAAACAATTTATCCCTGTTCCCATTGATAGAAGTACTTATGAATCAGTTTGGGGTGAACAAAGGATACTGCATCGTTCAGTCCTATTTACCATGTCAAACCTAACCAGTCAGCAGAAAAGAGGATGGATTCATGAAAGGGTCGATAAATCTGGAACTTTACTCCACTGTCAAAGCAGTGTTATGGACATACTTTAAATGTTCTTACTCATGTTTGAGAGCATGGGAGGTTGGAAAGGTTTGGGCAAGTTTCTAGCCATTGAAAATATCACGGGCTAAGTCAGCTTTATCTGGGGCTTGACTTTTTCTTGAAGGAAGACTGGCATCAGGGCTTAAAATACTCGGGGCTATAGTGAATCAGACCTAATGATGGCCAGGGTACTGAAAAGGACTCCTTTCTAAAACCAGGGAGCCCTAAATGAAAATCAGAGATATGTTACCAATACTAGAGCCCCGCTGCAAATACTAGTTCACAAGTAATAGTATGAATAGAATACACCGAAAACACTAAAACTAAAAAGAACATTTCTTATGTTTGCCTGTCCATATATCTATCTACTGTATCTATCTATCTATCTATCTATCTATCTATCTATCTATCTATTTGCTAGCGCAGAGTGTACTGAGAGTGAAGCAGATATCGTGCACTGCGTGTGTGTGGGACTGAATGAAGGCTGGCCCATGCGCTGCACAGGTCCTTCGGAATTCATAAGATGGGCCAGACGGCAATGCGCTGGATAATAAGTGTTTGTGTGCGTGTTTACTGACAGAGCAAGCGAGGGAGCGCGCCAGAGAGGCGTAAGGGGTAAGAGATAACCACCCTCTCTTGAATTTTACACGGGAATTCTCCACTGCTGGTTTTCCTGGGATAGGTCGCTTATCATGACTTTAGTATTAACTGAAGCCTAAATCACTTTGCTGTGACATTATCAGTAGGCAATGCCAATGCTCTATGGGAGGCAATTCTTTTCATTAACATTTTCTGCACTGCAGGTTCATTTTGATGGGCTTTATCTTTTTTGGTTTTAATGGAGTCTTTATTAAATATGAATTCGCTGTACGTTAACTGCACTTGGGGACCGTTACGTTTTTCATAAAATAACTTTACAGAAAGACATTTTAATCATGGTTTCTGATATCTATAATAAAGTTTAATAAGAAAAATGTGCATTATAAGAAATAATCTTCAGTTTTAGTTAAAAAATTAATGTGATGAAAAACCAAAAAGAATCAGTACAGTTGATAGGATGGTGTGCGGATAGTGACTGAATGTCATTTGTATGTGTATTTAAGGAGATTGAATGCTTGTTGTAATGCACAGCAAAAAATATCAGTCAGAAGTTTGAACACCAGCGATTAGGTAAGAAATGCTTAAGAAATCAATCTCACTAGTTATAAGTTAAATAATGTGATAATAAGAATATGAAGTTTGCTAATAAGTGTGATTCTGCAATTCCTGTCTATTGAGTTTTTTTTTTAAACTATATCGATGGTCCCTGCCTCGCACCCATAGCCTCCAGGATAGGTTCCGCACCCACCACAAACCCTGCATAAGATAAGTGGTTATAGAAAATGGATGGAGGATGGATGGATGAATGGATATATCCATAATTATTTTGGTCATATAATGTATTTGCTGTTATTTGAAAGTCATCTGGCTTGTGCCTTTAATAATCTAAGAATCAAAGGAATGCTGAACTGAGAAATGCTCTGGCATAATTTAAACACCAACAAAGTATAATTAGATTTAAATATCTCTGTATAAAAACATTGCTTTGGTCGAGGGAACAGGAGAAAAATACTTCTTTGTCCGGGCTGTTTGACTGCTGCAGGCCCTTCTTTGGGGGATTCGGTCATCTTTCAATGTCCTCTTTTAGTTCTCTTTATAAAAAGCAGTTTCTGCTCTGCTCTCCTACATGGGCCGCTTTTGAATTTGTGAGTGGTTTGGCACCAATGTTGAAGAAGGGCAATTTTTCCTCCACAAAAATCTGTGTGGGCAAAAAAAGAAACAGGAGACATATGCTACAGAATATGTGTAGTTGCTTGTGTGTTATATGAAATTTATGTGCAGATATGGGGGAATGAATTCACATTAAGTACTTGTGTTCTTTGTAAAGAGGTGGAAATCAGCTACTTAAAGTGGGAAGCTTTTGTCATTGTTATGTGTATAATATCTGATTATGCAGCCGTCGAGGGACACAGACTGTGCTGAATCCATAGTATTTATTGCTGTATTGAAGTCATTTTGCATGTAAAAAGTTTACTGCAGATATTAATGAAATGATAAACAAAACACAATACAAAAACCTAAAAGACCCTAAAGTCCAACAACCCAGATATGGAAGAAATGGGGCAGAAGTGTCGTCACTGTTGAAGTGTGACAAAAGTGAAATCTCGCAGGATAAGTGCTTATTCCTTTAGTGAAAATGATGGGATGCTGAACACCTTTTTCAGGAAGGACCAAGGGCTTCAGCCGTTCAGCGGTTCTCTCTCCCCTGTTGTTTTCCCAACTTTCCTCTGAATTCATGCATTCCACGTCATACTGACCTTACTGAAGTGACAGGAAATCGACATTCACTTATTTACCGCTACGCTATTTCCTGAACGACATGCCAGCAGCCCCTGCACATGCTAACGTGGGAAGCACTATAGCAAAGTGATTCCTCTCTGAGGCTGCTTATCAGCTATGCAGTTTGAATAAACATTGTTTTGGTCGGGGCTGGAGACTTCTCAGTAGCAGCCAGCAAACCTCATAACGTTATTTGTAGGTCTCACTCAGTCAAGATTAGGACAAAGTGTGTTACAGTTAGGCATTGAGCTGACACTCTGACAGGGAGGCCTGCTTGGGTTAGACATTGATTTGATACTCTGACTGGGAGGCCTGCTTTGCTGACACTCTGACAGGGAGGCCTGCTTGGGTTAGACATTGATTTGATACTCTGACTGGGAGGCCTGCTTTGCTGACACTCTGACGGGGAGGCCTGCTTTGGCTAGGCATTGAGCTGACACCCTGACAGGAAGGCCTGCTTTGTGACATAAATTGGACTTTGAATGGTCATTTCATCAAGCCATATATCATTCTTTTCACACCTGTATGTAGTTACTTTGCATAGCAGGTACAGTAGTGTAATGGTTTAGTGGGAAATGTACTCATTTTTAGATGTGTCCCCAGTTGGTTTACTCTGAGTCTGCATGTAGTCTGTGGTTTGTAAGACAAATTAAATGAACATGGGGCTTGAACCCAAGTCCTTTGACAGACCAGCAGTAGGGGGTCCTTACGAGGCAGAAATGTAAAGCGCATTGAGACAATGTAATGTTGTGATAATGCGCTATATAAATAAAATTGAATTGAATAGGCCGGTAAACAGATGAGCTTCTCTACCCAGCCTGGGCTTTCTGGGGGCTTCCTCTGCGTACTTCAGCTTCCAGCATGAAAACATGGTTTCTAATTTGTAATTATTAATTTCCCGCAATGCTCTGTGTACTATGGCTGGCCACCCTGTACTTTCTGCACGACGTGGGGTCCTTTTTAAAAAATGTTGTGCCTATTTATCAAAGGATTTTTTTTTATAAATCGACTGGTGATTATGAATGTCACTGTCCGTCCAGTTCTGGGCAGAACATCACGAAATGAAATGTTCCACAAAATGTACAGATTTTCTTAGATAAAACAGGACAATCCAAACCCCCTTGAGCCCATTCGCTTGCATCCCCTGACTGGTGTCCTGCGTTTGATTCAGAGCCCCTGGCCACCACTTCCGGGACAATTTATGCTCCACTGTTGCTTCTTTGTCTTGAATGGGAGAGGCTCCAGGCTGGAGTGCAGCCCCGTGCTTCTGCTGTCAGCACCATTGTTTGGAGCCAGACTGACAATGACGCTCTGTCATAACACCGGGCAGGGGGTGTGTGTGAGGGGGGGAGGGTGTACGTGAAATGTCATGATGAAATGTGTGTCCACTGTGTGGTAAGTGGGAAGGGGGTGAAATTAATCTGAGTTACCACAAGATGCCGTTATCGTTTAGGATAACAGCGTCATTATTTAACGTCGGCATCCCGGGCCAGCAGGTGGCGCTGCATCACACCTACAAGTTTACGGCAAACAGGTGCTTATGGAAACAAATAGCTGAACAAATAAATAACTTACAATAAAACCTGAAATGCAACGTACAAAATTAAAACACAAGTATCGAATTTTCATAGCTCTACATCGCAATACTAATGATATCGCTAGCAATGCTTTTAGCTTCAAAGGCAATAATTACTCCAAAAGTTTTCGGTCCAAATATGTTTTTCTCTCTGTTTTGTAGCTCTGAGCCGCATGATCAAGACAATTTTTGAGCAGGACAGGACTGCAGAGAGCCAATCCCAGCAAAGATGCTTTCGCTGGTTTTGAAACTGGCTCTGGCTGAGCTGACAATATCACTGCTGTTGTCGAGGGGAATTTACGCAATTGAAGTCCCACTCGATTGTAAGTCCTTTGCTGATATTCTGATTACCTGGAATTCGCATCGCCTTCCACTTTAAAACCAAATAACTTTCTGTCAGCAGCTAGAACTACTGAATGCATAACACAATTCTACATGAGTGGTTTCCAGTCTGCCCGCTGGATTGACAGAGTATATATATTTTTTCATGCTTTGTTGCAATAGTCAAATATTTTCTCAATATAGCAATGTCGGTTGTGAGTAGCTGCAATTTATGCAGACATTGAGAACTGCTGAGAACAGTACTGGAATACACAAGTTCCAGAAAATGCATTTATATTTTATAGTTTTTCAATATATTGTAAACTTTGTGTGATGGAAATCTTTGAGATATATTTCTATCAAATGTTAAACATTTCAATACAGAATGTTTTTTCAATACGGAATGTTTTTTTTTAATAGATTCCAAAATCTGGTGTGTGTTATTTTGGTAAAATATAGAACATAAAGCTTATTGTCTACAGTATCTGTTAATATTTTTCATTTAAATATACTATATTCCTTAATAAATACAAATATTGTGTCAAATGCTAAGTAATGCTAAGTGTTTAGCAACATATTTCAGGTATGATAATACTCATACTACCTGTATCACAGGTAGGAACCTCTTCTGCTGCTGTCTGACTTTATTTTTGCTTCACCTAAAATACATTAAAACACAAGTTCATGTAAACCTGTGGATTAATATGTGCAATCCGTTTTTTTCACTAAAAGAAAACATCTGTACTGTCCATAGATAATGTATTATAATGAAATCTAGAAATGGAAATGTGTAAAATGTGAATAAACACAGTGTGCTGTTGACACATTTGCCACCACCCCCCACCCCCACCACCACAGTGAGGCAGCCCCCCACCATTATCAAACAGTCTGTGAAGAACCACATTGTGGACCCCCGAGACAGTGCCGTGGTGGAATGTGAAGCGAAGGGTAACCCAACGCCAACGTGAGTCTGTCCTGATGCTTCACATCACTTCTCAATTCTGTCTTCTTCTGAGTTTCTCTCATCTCAATCTTTTTGCACTCCTCCGCAATCGATTATGATGCATGTCTTTTGGTCAACCTCTATTAACTAGTGATGGACAAAGTGACGCTTCATGGACCATTTAGTGTATTTTTTGAGCCCACTAGATCAGGGGTGGGCAGTCTTACCTGCAAAGGGCCAGTGTGTGTATAGGTTCTGGGATAACCTTTGATTAACTTAGCTGTTCAAACCCAGGTGTGAAGACTTTTCAGCCAATCAATCCTCTAATTAGTAATCTAATTAGGGAGTTGCACTGAAAACCCGCATACATGCCGGCCTTTTCTGGATAACATTGGCTACCCCAGCACTAGACGGTGCTCTTAGTTTGCTTTTGGGCATGCTTTGTGCCCTTTTTTGAACAGAGAGCACCATCTAGTGGGGGTAAAAAAATATAGCAAATGGTTCATGAAGCATCATTTTGTCCTTCACAACAAAAACCCAAACATGGAGCTCGTTGTGGTAATCAACACCTACCCCTGCATTTATTGACAGTTTCTCATGGCGGCGGAATGGGAGATTGTTCCAGCTGGGGAGGGATCCTCGTGTGACAATGAGAAGAAGGTCTGGCACCCTGGACATCGCCTTCTACAGTGGGCTGGCCCCCGAGGACTACGAGGGAGAGTACCAGTGCTTTGCCACCAACATCTTTGGGACGGCGGTGTCCAACAAAATCCTGCTTCGGGTGTTCAGTGAGAAGCTACACACTTTATCGACAGAGAAAACACACACGCAACCATTGGATATTCCTTTTTAGTAGTTAACTTACCTCGATCTGTAACGAATTCTTTCAGCACACTGCAAGAATCTGAAGGATATCTGGCTTGGCCAGTAAGTCTGATCCTACTCTTGTTAACGATTTCCAGAGTCTCCAGTGTGGCGTAGAGATATTCTAGAGCCAGTGGTGATTAACCAGGGACTCCCTCTGATCCTGCCGTGCAACCCGCCCCCCTTTTTCCCTGAGCCACACATCTTCTGGATGAACAACAGTAAGACCCCCGGTTAAAATCCACATCTGTCTATCTGCATAAATATAAACACATAAGTCAAAGGTAGATACTGACACAGTCTCTCTGCTTTAGCTTTGGTTCCTGATCCAGTTATGATGCCCATTTTGGAAGATCGCAGGGTGTCACTGGGGTTGAATGGAGACCTGTACTTCTCCCACGTCCTCGTCAGTGACTCCTGGACCTCTTACAGCTGCAATGCTCGCTTTGCTCAGACAATCCAGCAGAAGAATCCCTACACCCTCAAAGTGCTTACCAGTGAGTGTCCACCGCTGACCTGCAAACGCTTACATCAGTGTCAGCACCTCCAAGCTTGGCAGATGGGGAAATGACATATATTGTATGATTTTACTCCAGCCAAGTTGTCCCATGTAAGCACGTAACATGCATGTTTGAGGTCAGTTGCATTTTTTTTATGTCTTTTACAGTCCTTTTTTTTTTTGCATTTTCTTGCTTTTCTTGTGTTAATAACTAACTTGTCTTACCTGTTCACAAGGAAAAAATTGCAGTTACTTCTGGTTTTCTGAGTCAGCAAGTTCCACGTTCAATTTCTAAAGCAACAGCCTTTTCAATACAAAAAAAAAGATCATTCTTACAGATATGAGTTATACAAGTATTGGTTACCAGATATTTGTACAGTGTTTTTGGTGGCTGCCCATATCAACTTTATATTTTATTTTCTTTAAGATTATATCATACCACCATGTCATGAGAATGTGTATTTTTAAGTAGAGCAGATAGCTACATTCCTTCTGTGTAACTTTGACTGCACTGGATTGTTTTGTTCACTACAGCACAGCAAGGATGATGGTGAAGGATGTCGGTTTTAAACTGATAAGAACATAAGAAATTTACAAACGAGAGGAGGCCATTCGGCTCATCAAGCTCGTTTGGGGAGAACTTAACTAATAGCTCAGAGTTAGAATCTTATCTAGCTCTGATTTAAAGGACCCCAGGGTTTTAGCTTGCGCTACACTAATAGGAAGACTATTCCATACTCTAACTACACGCTGTGTAAAGAAGTGCTTTCTCAAATTGGTAACCTTAAACTTTCATGCTTTTATCTGTTGATGTAACTAAATGATGATTTGATATAATTCAGTTCAGTTTTGATTTTCTTTGTGCTTAGATCTAAATCAGCAGCCTTTGAAATACAAATGCAGCCACTATCCTGCCTTTGACCTTAAACTTGTACCTTATATACCCTTATATACAGTTTGGCTTAGTGGACAGCTATATGTATTTGACATTGAACTCCCCCTGTAATAAATAAATATAACATGACGCAAGGCTCAGTGACCTCAGTGAAGTTATATATTCAAACTCGATAACGTGCCAGAACTGTATCTAGTTAACTGGTATGTAGAGAGGAAGACTAACGCCATACTGAAACATGCTTTTTGTTGTAAGTTTACCCTATTAACTAATAGCCTGCAGTTGCCACTGTACAGCTGTATCGCTGCGCTTTTTAACCTTTATGTTTCTTGCTTCCGTTCTCCTCTCGGAGCACGGTGGATGATTCCTTCCTGTGCTATGTCTCCCCTTTTCTCTCAACACCCCCTTGTTTGGTTCTGATGGGCCTGCTGTTGTTTCATTGCAGAGGCACCTTAAAATGACACAGCAGGCTTCCCATCTCAACCACTCTGACTTTCACAGTGGTGAGTCTGCAGTCCTTCTGCTGTTTTCTTTTTAAATTTGTTCAGCACTTTCTAACCACTCGCCCCCCCCCCCCCCCCCCCCCCCCGCTGTCCTAACACTGACATCCATCTAACAACATGTGTCTCTGGGACAAACTTGGAGAGAAATGAGGCAGCTGCATAATAGAGTCTTGTACTGTAGTTTATGACGTGTGGCTGTATGGAACCTGAATGAGTCAGTCATTCATTTTAAAAGATTCTTTAAATAGGATGAGAGGAATGGCTGGAGTAGCATTTAACTTGACGTTTTCTGGTTCACTTCTCAGGTGGGGCCTTATGCAAGGTGTTCAGTCTGATTTTATTGGGTTTTTTTATATTCTAGAAGATATAGCATTGTTAGGCGACTGAATGTGCAACTAAAATGTTTCTTGTGGTACTTCAGATGAAACTCCATTTTTGGCATTCGACAATGCAATATTACGGTTGTACAACTGGTTGGATATTCAATCCAGTTTATTTTTTAAACCCAGCATATATGCACAGTATCAAACATTGCCTCCACTATCCAGATAACTGTTCCTGTCATTGACATCTAGGCTATGACATTACGTGATCCGGCCCTGACACCTTGGGGTAGCAAGCGGGAAGAGGTGCTGATTGAGGCGTTACATCATATGTAGACCCCCGGGTCCCTACAAGGGCAGCACACACAGTAAGACAGGCTTCATTGTGCTGACAGACCTTAAGAAGCTGCACCTCAACAGACAGTGTTAGACTGTCCCTGAAGGGCCAGGGATGGGGGCCTGGTCACACCAAGCGTCACACAAGCTCTGTCTTTGTCACAACCCCTCAGGCTCCCTTTGTCACCACTCTAACAATAAATCTATAGATTGTGCTTGTAAAACTATATGTGTGAGAACAAGGTATTAAATACAACCATGAAGTTTCAAAGCTGCTCACTTCACATTTGCTCGATGTATGATGTCATGCACAGAATATCCAATGAATATCCATCATTCATTTTCCAGCTGCCTATCCTGGTTAAGGCCGTGATATGAACGTACGCTAACGATGGACGACAGATTTCTGGAAATTTTTACTAAAATAGTAAAAAAAAATCAGTGTTTCAACGAATAGGCTTCTAATGGCCAACAGTAAAATTGCTTAATCTTTCTGTTTTTATAGAATACCTGTAGTACGAGTCAAATATTTGGACAAACCTACCCATAGAAAGGTTTATTTGTACTATTCTCCACATTTTAGAATAATTATTTTTAAAAGTATTAAACAAAAAAAAAAAATTGTTGGGGCGTGGGGCGGCTCTTTTGGTTGGGCCTCAGAAGGTTGCCAGTTCAAATCCTGTGGTTGGCAGAGTGATCTCACCATTGGGCCCTTGAGCACAGCCCTTAACCCCAACTGCTCCAGGCACTGGCTGACCCCACTGCCTCCCCTATGCCAGTTTCATGAGGTGGCCTCCTGGTATGCTTTTCCAGTTGTTCTGAAGGAGGTCCCATGTGAGGCGACACTATCACTTGCTAATGTAGGCAGCTTGTCGTGTTCAAACATTTGACTGGTACTGTACATTATTAATCCTTAATAATTGTATTAGTGTTATTTAATGTGTAACTGCTGACTAACAAACCTCAAAATAATTGTGCATTCTTTGTGCACTAAAAGCTGTACTATTTCAACACACCGAGTAAAGATTTCAGCAAAGATTTCACTGAAAATTAAATTAATGATCAGATTTTAATCACCCTGTTACGTAGAGAAGCATGTGTCCTGACCCGGAACATTTTGGTCAGCCTGCGACTGCAAAGAATTCATCTCACATCCAAGCCCCTGAGATATGAAGGCCTGACATATGCTGTTAGCTGTTAGCTGAAGCATGATTGACAAATGGGCGTTTCTCAATACCAAGAATGTCAAGATCGTACTTATGGTCTTGCTAACTTGCCTCCCAAGAACGAACTTGGGCACAATGAATCATGGGATGGGTCTCGTTTGGCAAGGATGCAACTGATGTATCATTGATATTTGGGCGGGGCAAGAACGTACTACTCTTCTTGAGTATTGAAACTGATCTTCCGTCAATGGACATAAAATGGGTACATGAGACCACAAGTATGGTCAAGTCCACATATTGAGAAACACCCACTTAGTGCTACCCTTCCTGTTCCACCTACAGCACGCAATGTGGCTGAGAAGGTTCCCAGCTTCCTGTCTCCACCCGGGACGGTGAGCTCCAAAGTGGTGCTGCGGGGGGAGCAGCTTGTCTTGAAGTGTATTGCATCTGGATAGTAAGTCTATGCCCTCTGACCTCTGTCACATGATCCGCTACACAATCATGTAAACAGGTGCTGTTCTGCCTTTGCATGTTAATTACACTCATAGGTGTCAGTCCAAGTAACAGGAAATCTCAGGACATCCTCATAGCATCTAAGCAGCCATTGAGCGCCATCTGACAAATTAAGCCCACACTGTTACCGACAGATGAGAATCAGATGCTGGCTGTAAACGCTGATAACTAGCGTGAGCAGGAAATCAATGTCAGGGAGGAGACTTTGAGTGTGGACAGGATTTGTAAACTACCATTTCAGTTAAAAGAACCTGGATTCCACTTAAGGTCTGAGTTCTTGCTGTGTGCTGACTGGTCTCCTGTAATCACGCATGTGTCACTAATGTTAATGTGAAACGGCTGGATGAGTCTTTCAATTAAGAAAACAAGCCAGTCGAAGCACAAGAAAAACTGAAATTATTATTTGCCCACGCACAAGAGCCTTTCAGTTTGAAAGTAGTTTGTAAAACCTGAAGGAGCTCAGCGTGTCCGTGCTGACGTGGGTTATCTGCTCGCCCTACGGAAACTCTCCTCCTGTAGCCCCACCCCTGTCATCAGGTGGTCAAAAATGGATGGAGATCTGCCCACCAGGAAGGTGAAGCTGGAGGACTTCGGCAAGACGCTGCGCATCATGTCCATGTCGGATGAGAACTCGGGGGAGTATGTGTGTACGGCCACCAACAGGATGGGCTTCGTCAGTCACACCGTCGTTGTCCATGTTCAAGGTCGTTCGCTCTAGGCTTCGTTTTTTTCCTTTGCAATTTCAGTGGATGTCCTGTGTTGTAAAAGTGGATATTTCATATTAAATATGACCCACGCACAAGCATAATATTACTTTTATTGCTGAGTCCAATTTTGCTCTAAATGAACAAAAAAGTCTACAGATTATGTTACTTTCAAAATTACTGACTTCAGCGTTAAGCAAAATTTTTACAAACTCATCTGTACTTCATTTATTGTTATTTTTTGTTCAACCTAGTCGTCTAATACTTGATGCTATGAGCTGGAGGTTTCCCTCTTATCTCACTCTTTTCTTCTGTTCCCACAGCACCTCCATCCTGGGTAAACAAACCGACAAACCTGGTACTGACTGCAGAGAAGAATGGACGGCTACTGTGCCGAGCCAATGGTGTCCCAAAAGCAACCATTCAATGGATGGTCAATGGGGAGCCGATTGACAGTAGGTTGGCTGGACAAGGGAAAGTTGACTGACAGTAAGCTTTCTGGTCAATGAAATTAGGATTCAGAGACGAGAGAATGACAGGTTTTCTGCAAAGTGGAGAGTGTATTGAAAAATGGCAGTAGGTGTTCTGAAAAATAGTACATCGGATGAAAGTGGGTTTACTCGTCAAGACTTTTTTGAGTTAGTGTGGTCAGTGGCAAGTCTAAGTGAGTTTGAAGTAGTTAGTTATGGTTGTGCAGAACAGACTGGTCCCCCAGTTGACAAACTGGGATATGCTTCATTCATTTTCCCTGTGGTACTTATGAAGGTGCCCAGCCTAACCCCCGCAGGCAGGTGGTCGGTGACACCCTCACACTCAACTCCATTCAGATGGGGGACAGCGCCGTGTACCAGTGCAATGCGTCCAATGACCACGGCTACTTACTGGCTAATGCATTCATCAGCATTCAAGGTAAAACAGCTACCCTTACCTTGTGGTTCTATGCTGCATGGGTGTATGTATCTCTCTTTGGCATTATACTGTACAGCTGTAATGTCTCATCTAAGTTTGTACTGAACTGTATGACAATACCTCTCTGTTTCTCCAGAGGTGGCACCACGCATGGTGGGCCTCAGGAACCAGGTGGTCAAGGTGATCGAGAGCAACCGCACCATTCTATACTGCCCCTTTTTCGGCTCACCTTTACCCGAGCTGCGATGGTGAGTGTTTACGGGATGGGCAACGTGAGAATACTCCCTCCAATCTAGCTCGTGTCAACCAACTGAGACATTCTGAATGTAAACATGCAGATGATGTCATCATTAGCACATAAAAATTCACAAAATTGTTCTTCTGTCTGGGGACTGTGTGGGCTGGGGTGTGTAGGGTTAAGGATGGGCTGACCGTGGGCGTGGATGGTGGCCCATACAGATCGTATCCCAACGGCACACTGGAGATCAGGCGCGCACGCATAAATGACCAGGGCTCCTATAGCTGTGTGGCCAGCAACTTCCTGGGCCGGGCAGAAAATCACGTACACCTGGAGGTCAAAGGTCAGTCATGCACAGCAGCAAGCGTCTGTATTATCCAAATATTCATTTATCCATCTATTGTCTTTGCACTTATCCTGTCAGGGTCGCAGAGATCTCAAAGAACAGAACATTTACTCTAATCAAATTAATATGTTGCCTAAGATTTAACATTCAGAATAAGATAAGTAATGCATTCAGAAATAAAACAAATTTTCCAGTTATTTGTCACAAAAAGCTGGTACTGTTTAGCGGGTGCGGGGCGGCATGGTGGTGCAGTGGTTAGCTCACACCTCTGGGACCCGGGTTCGAGTCTCCACCTGGGTCATGTGTGTGGAGTTTGCATGTTCTCCTCGTGTCGTCGTGGGGTTTCCTCCGGGTACTCCGGTTTCCCCCCACAGTCCAAAGACATGCTGAGGCTGATTGGAGTTCTTAAATTGCCCATAGGTGTGAATGTGTGAGTGCCTGGTGTGTGAGTGTGCCCTGTGATAGGCTGGCCCCCTGTCCTCAGTTGTTCCCTGCCTCGTGCCCGTTGCTTCCGGGATAGGCTCCAGACCCCCCACGACCCAGTAGGATAAGCGGGTTGGAAAATGGATGGATGGATGTTTAGTGGGTAGCTCTGTGGCCTGATTGTGGGTTAGATGCCCGTAGGGTTTGTGTCTGTGGAGTTTGCATTGATGTGTGGATGGCCTCACTGTGATCTTGTGGGTTCCTTCCTTTTCTGTGAGTGTTTGTCTGTGATGAGTTTGCACTGACGTGTGGACATCCTCGCTGTGTTTTTGTGGTTTCCTTCCTTCCTTTGTGAGTGTTTGCAGTGATGTGAGGACGTCTCTCTTAGCTCATGTGCTTGAGTCTCCAGGCTCACAATGACCCTGGTTGTTGAACTGGCTGTGCAAAAAGGATGAATCAGAATAAGTTTGCAAATTTTTGAATACATTTATCCCATTCTCGATTGTGACGGCTGCATTTCCTTTTGACTCAGAGCCCACGAGGATGATTCGTCCACCTGAGCACCTGAGGGCAATTCGGGGGAGTATGGCGCGGTTCGAATGCAAGGTCAAACACGACTTCTCCCTGCCCGTCACTGTCTCTTGGTTAAAGAATGGCCGGCATCTATCGCTTGGCTGGAGGTGAGCCCTGAAACATACTCATGTGCATGAAACACGTTAAAGCACAGCGATGATTCTCACCAGCTATATCAGTGTACATTCATATTTATATTCTTTAGCGGAAGCTTTTGTCCAAAGTGGTGTACATCACAAACATCTATGAAACGTTTTGGTCATTAAAAGTACTTGTGACTTATATGTAGTTTGAGACACAACTGTAATGTATTCACATTGGACCACTAAATATTTTAATATTAATTCTTTCTATTTTTGTTTTTCATTCTTTAATTTTTACATTAATATGTCCAATAAATGAAAAAAAAATCAACAAATAAATAAATAAACAATATTGTCCAAAAGTCTTAGGCAACCAAAGAAAATGATGTTTATATGATCTTTATGTTGGTAAAACTATGCTGTTATGTCTGTCAATGTGTGTTAGCTTAGCCATTCCAAAACCTCTGCTAAAATCACCCCACTATTTCCAGCGACCATGCAATACACCCCTTTATTTTTTTGACCCAGCCACTAGCACACCTGGCATTACTAGTCAATATCTCATTGACTTTTTTAACCAATTAAGTTAGCTGGTGGTTTTAATTTAATAAACACATGGAGTGGCTGAGGAGCCCCTAAGGAGAGGTTTGGGATCTGAAGCGATGTTCATCTAGTCATCCAACTAGATATCAGTAACTTTTTGAGAACAGAAGAAATTTTTGCTAGTTTTTATTGTTACTCCTAATTTGCATATGATAATTTTTAAAATGTTAAATTCTATTTTTGTCCTGAGCAAATATGCAGTTGCTACTCAAATACAGATCCTCTCCTCTACTTATGAACGAGTTACGTTCTGAACGGCTGTTTGTAACTTGAAATGTCCGTAAGTCATTATTCAACATCATTTTAAGGGTATACACAAGTACAAAGGAATAGGATGCTGGGAGTTCGCACGCTACACTGATGTGCGGCGGGAATAGCGGCCAGAAGTCGTACTGGGCGGAATTGGGCGCGCAGAAAAAAAAAATTATGTTGTGGACAGGAAACGGGAGCCCAAGGAACACAATTTGGACTTACAGCCCTTTTTGTTCATATGTCTGAAAGTTCGTAAGTTGAGAGTTCGTAAGTAGATGAGTGTCTGTACATAGCTTTAAACATGTTTTGACTGCCTAAGACTATTGCACAGTACTCTGTGTGTGTGTGTGTAAGTGTTATTCTCTATATATTGAGGATAGAAATTTACTTATGCTAAACAAACATCTCAAAATAGACAAAAATTATGCCTATATCAGTGTGGCATGGATCAAATAACCCAGCAAAGACATAAAGGCATTTCACTGCACTGTCCACGAGCCACGTTTCTTAGAAGATAATGAACCAAGTAACAGTGTTTCCTCAGCTGCCCTGCAAACCAGATTAAGCACTGGGGACACTGTGACATAAGATGTTTTCCGTCATTATGGATTTCTCAAGTAAAGGCTTCATTAAGCCTATGTGACGATACTTATCCTTGCACCTGTAGTTCTTATATTCTCTTCCGCATCTCCTTCATAGGCTGAGGAGGGAGGATGACTCCCTGACCATCCCCAATGTCCACAGGGAAGATGAGGGCAACTACAGTTGCGTGGTCAGAACTGAGCTGGACAGGGTGTCTGCCTCAGCCCGCCTTATCATTTTGGGTATGCACACACCTATGCACACATACTGACACTCCCAGACCGACACTCCCAGACCGACACTCACAGACCGACACTCACAGACCGACACTCACAGACCGACACTCCCAGACCGACACTCACAGACCGACACTCACAGACTGACACTCTCAGACCAACACTCACAGACCGACACTCACAGACCGACACTCACAGACTGACACTCTCAGACCAACACTCACAGACCGACACTCACAGACCGACACTCACAGACTGACGCTAACACTCACACACAGGTACTCAGACAAGCATTCATGGAAGCATAACATTTTAAACACAGTAACCATATCTAATGTTACATTATCAAATTACGTTATCAATAACATTTAGAGCTTTTGTAAAATCATATTGCTTACTCTGCCCATACCGTCTGCTAATACTGTTTATTTAATTGCTTTTTTTTTGCACTGTACTGGTTCTAATGGTGCTTTCATTATTATTTACTGCTTACTGCCATTTTTATCTTTTTGCTCTACTTTTAATTTTATTGTCAGTAATATCATCGAGCATGGAAGCTGCAGACTAAATCTTGTCGTACCTGTGCAATGATAATAAAGGTATTCTATTCTATTAATGGAGAGTGTGGTAACAAGGTGTAAACTTGTGTGGTCTTTCAGGTGTAATTCCAGAATATGGCTGTGTTTCCAAGATAAGATGCGTACTTGTTGTAAAGAGCTGGCAGTGAATCCTAGTTATAGATAAAAGCTGGGTTTATAATACCTCCCTGCAGACCAGCCAGACCCCCCGACGGATCTGGAGCTGTCAGACCCAACGGAGCGGACTGTGCGACTCACCTGGGTGCCTGGATATGACAACCGCAGTCCCATTAAAGGTAACCTCCTCAACTCCTCAACTTCAATGAGTACATTATACAGATGTAGAATGTTTGGTGTTACAAGGAGACAGAGGCGGGTAGTTCAGGTCCACAGAGTAAAAATCCAGACCAGGATTTTATTTCAGTCAACCAGTTGAGTCCTCTGTACCTGTGACTCTTTATACTCAGCTGGCTGGTTGAAACAAAATCTTGGTCTGGATTTTTATTCTCTGCACCTGAACTACCCACCTCTGCATGATTTCTGAATTTGGTCCTTCTAGTCTTGTAACCTTTTTGGGAAGCCACAATCCACACGAATAGGTAAAGACTTCTATAAAATCTGAAACACATCTGATATGCCACCTGTAGTCATTAAATACTGGTTTCAGTGGGGTTACATGGAGTTATCATAAGGCGAAAATGCATTTTAATACAGTACACCTAACCTAACAAACATCATAGCCTAGCCTAGCCTACCTAAAACATGCTTAAAACGTACCTTAGCCTACAGGTGGGCAAAATCGTTATCATAAAGCCTGTTTTATAAAGTGTTGAATTTCTCGTGTAATTTATTGAAAAATGTACTGGAAATGAGAATGGAATTGGAATACCAATCGTACAGTCAAAATATAGTAACACAGGCCATCGTAATACAGGCCATCGCAACCCAGGCTATCGTAACCTGGGCCATCGTAACTCCGGGAGCATCTGTATTCAATTTACATGCCTGAAGCCATAAGAGATCTTCGCCTTATTTTTGCTCCATCATTGAAGACATTCAGTCTGTTCCATCTATCTTTTTCTCCACTCTTATTTATTTCTTTTTATCTAGAGTTCCTGGTACAGTACGAGGAGGACTACTGGGAACCGGGCTGGTGGAAGAACCTGTCCAGTTACCCAGGCAACCTCAACTCTGTCATCCTACCACTGAAGCCCTTCATCAACTACCGGTTCCGGGTGTTTGCCGTCAATGCTATAGGCCGAAGCCTGCCGAGCCGCCCGTCCCAGCGTTACCAGACGAGCGGCGCTGGTGAGTCCAGAGCAGATGACGGCATTCCAACGCCATGTCCTCACAGCTGTGCTTAAACCTCATTTAGCTACTTGATTGTATGTGTGTGTGTGTGTGTGTGTGTGTGTATAAAATTTAATTTTTTTCCACTATAAGCAAATGTATATTTTTAGTACAAAAACACATTTCATCCCATTTTTGTGGAACGAGTAACTTTCAGCTGAAGACCAGGGAAAATTGTCAGTGGAGCAACTTGGCAGCAGCTATTATTGCTGCCTGAATAGGAACAGGAACAGGAACAGGAACAGGAAGTCCTGAATATCAGTAATTCTCTGCTGGCCTTTTGGATTGTTTTAACTTAGATTGCTGATTTCTTCTTTTTCCTCACTGCTATTTTGTTTGTAAATAAACTCAATTAAAGTAGGAAGTTCAAGTGTAAAAATGGTAAAATTTTAACTCTAAGGTCTATCTATCTATCTATCTATCTATCTATCTATCTATGACAAGCTTAATGTTGGTTAGCATGTTTCCCATTTATAAGTAAATAGGGCAAATGATTCACTGTGTCTTGTGTTCTTGGTGTGTGCTGTGTTTTTTAGCACCAGACGCCATCCCGACAAACATCAGAGGAGTGGGAACCTGGAAGACGAGAATGGATATCAGATGGGATGTAAGAGATCAAAGGGAGGGATATGAAAACTTACAGCTCTACAGCTATCAAAACATTGAAAGAGACAAATATCTTCAGTGAATCCGGCTGTGCTACTGTGTTGTGTGCAGTGACGTGAGCATTTTATAGACCATTGTTCGCGTGTGGTATTTGTGCAATGCAACTATGTATTACATGATATATGATCGCCGCCATTGTAAAGTCACATGACCCGTCCACCATTTAGCAGTAGCATTATCCAGCTGCACGGACTATACATGGTGGCACAACCACAGCACATATCCTGCCTAGTACACTCCAAACATAGGAGTTTGTCTAAATTATAAAAAGTCAACCCGCAGCTCCCCTGAGCTCTGAATCCTGATGTTTTCTGCATTTTTAGCTGCGAAATCAACTGATACTACGGAGAAATCCTGAAAATATATATATATATTTTTATCTTATGCACACAAGATATAATTTAACTTCGGCACATAATATAAGTTTTTGTGCACACAAGCTGAACTTAAAAGCAATAGTCTCCAACCCTGCTCCTGAAAATCTACCTTTTACTGTATATTATCTCCCTTTTACAGTTAATGTTGTGCACTGCACCACAATGAACTGCTTAAAGCACAATATACTTGATGTGTCTTATTTTTGAGTTGTTAGTTCAGTTATTCCAGTGCACACTGAATGTACAGATTGTACTTAGTGATAATTATATACGAAAATACATAATCTGATTTCATTGGGTGTACATTGTCCCCCACAGTGAACTGTTGTAAGCACACTGTACTAGATATCTCTGTCTCGTCTTGTTTTAGAACTATTATGGTAGTTATTACACCCTTTGTGACATGAATGAACATTCAGGGCATTTGACTGTAAGTGTATGTCAGGTTCACATGTCAACAATTTTATTAATTTTTTTTTTATTAAAATTCACCCATTAAGAAATATGGAAATGCATAAGAGTTGACATTAACTCTAAATGCTTAACTTATATCTCATTACAGCTGAAGCTATTAACAAAATTCAACACAAATAGTGAAAAGGCTCAAATCACAAAAATGATTGGTGTGCACTGCTGGACATCACGAATGTGTGATTAAAAACCAACTAGCTTGCTTTTGTTAAAAGATATTTCAGTCGGAAACCTGAATATCGAATATGAGGCTAAGTTTGCCGTGCCATAACAAGATTTAAGTGGAATTTTATGAGCTGTGTTCACCGCACTATGCTCACACAAGGGTATTAATTTAGTAATTTAATAGCTAATTTATTGTTTGCTCAAGATAATATAATTTGCCAGAAAATAATTATATTGTTTGCACAACAAAAAAATATATCTATTTTTTGGGACTTCAGTACAACATGGATACTGAATATTGGTGGCAAAACTGCCCACTGTCGCAGAGTAGGTACATCATCTAATATGGCAAAGCCCACAAAAGCACACATACAAAGGTCATACTTCTCAAAATCAATATGACATGATTGAAATATGTAAAAAATGGAATTGCAGACAACCCACTGGTGGACTGAGACTCTTTTATCCTTGATTGACAGGCCTTGCAGGACACAGAGAGGAATGGTCCTCGCCTGCGATACTTAGTCTGGTGGAGACGAAGGGACTCGCGGGAGGAGTGGAAGAATGCAACTACATACTGGCTGAGATACACCATCTACGATGCAGACACATTCACGCCCTACGAGATCAAATTGCAGGCCGTCAATGACTTTGGGCTGGGTCCTGAATCGAACATAGTTATCGGCTACTCTGGAGAGGACCGTCAGTATTCATTTTAAGATGATGATAATGATGATGAGGACAGTGTTATCTTTGTAGGTTAGCTACCTGTTCTAGCTTTGTATGTGTGAAACTATTTGCATATTCGCCATAGGTTTTTGTGGATACTGTGAGCTGCTTCCATAGTGTGTTTTAGGTAAACTGGTGTCTCTAGTTTGCCCTTTGCAGCTGCAAGGAGAACTATTTTCCTAGAGGTATAATATGAAGATGTGAAGATTTCACTGTAACCTGAAAGCACTTTAAATATGAAAGGTTTTACCTTATTGGGGCAGTCCCATATACCTTTTACTCAGGATTTACTACCCTTGTGGGGAAAAGTACACACCACACACACAAAGGAAATCAGGGCATTCTAGAACAGCAGTGTTTAGGAAATATAGCTAAGACTTGGCTTTCACAGGTCCGATTGCAGCCCCGACGGATGTGCATGTGTCCCAGACGGACAGTACCATGGCTACCGTGCACTGGACTCCTGTACCTTACAAAACCATAATGGGCAATGTCAAGGAGTACAAGGTGGGTATTGCCTGCATTTAGGTGCTTAGTTAATATTGAGTGATAAGTTTCAATGATACATTACTCTGCACAGAGTATGGCCTGAAAATAAGACACAGGGTGTTTCTCAACACCAAAAATGCATAGATCATGCTTGTGGTCTTGGGAAGACCGGTCTTGCTAAATAGCCTCCTAAGAACAAACTTTGGGAGCAATGAGTCATGGGATTGGTCTTGTTTGACGAGGATACAATCCATTTATCCTTGATGTTTTGGGCGGGACAAGAACGACATCCTGAGATTTTTACTGTCTTCTGTACTTCTGTCGTTATTATTGGAACTGGTCTTCGGCAATGGAAGATGACGTTGGTTCACGAGAACACATGTACGGTCAAGTACGCATGTTGAGAAACAGCCACTATTTGTCTCTATTGTTGTAGTCATGTGATCATTGCAAGTGACCTTCAGAAACTATTACTGCACCTTCATGGTTTACAAGATATTCAGATAAATATTTATATTCATATTCAGTTACTTATTTTAGTATGTATAGCAACAAGGCTATACCATAAAGCTTGAACCAGTGCTTAAGTGTAACACTGGACCTTGCCCACCACTGGTTGAGGATTTACTGTATCCACTGGGTAATCCCTCTGGCAGGCATACTACTGGAGAGAGAGCAGCCAGCTGAAATGGCTTGGTGTGAGCCGGGAGAAGAAGTCCAAGGGCTTTGACAGCACCAACTCCCATCCCATGGGGGTGCTGACTGGCCTTATCCCATACAGCAACTACAAGATGTACATGGTGGTGGCCAACAACCGCTATGAGGGGCCACCCAGCAGCATCATTGAGTTCCAGACAACGGAGGGTGGTGAGCTGAGGAATGAGTCAAAATTTGTGGGTGTGGGGGGGGAGTGTGCAGCAAACCACGGGGAGGGGGGGTGCGCCTGGCCGAGGGTGAAAAGCAGAGTGGGGGATCAGGATATGGGAAATATCTGCTTTTAGCAAGGCTGCTCCTGGCGCTACAGTATCCTCATCATCACCCACGTGATGGTGTCCTTCCTTTTCCGGCTCTTCTGCACAGTCCCAGCACGACCCAGGTACTTCAGGGTCCAGCAGAGACACATGGATACCCTATACTTGGACTGGGATCGGCCAGCCGAGCCCAACGGCATCCTGACTGGATACACGCTCAAGTACCAAGTTGGTGCGTACAGAGTCTCATGCCATAGAAATGAGGGTCTCCCTGTTGTTACTTAGGTGCACAAATTATGGTTGCAGGATGTAACATTGTGATTATTTGAAATATTTGCAGTTAATATTGCACTATAAAACAAAAAAAGGAAATGAAATTTACCCAAAATAAAGGAATGGCCAAATTTATACAGATTACTTCTGGGTGTCATAATACGCCTCTTATTAATATTTTAGGCGATATGGAAAAAGCAGCCTCTTGTATAGTACTCTACTTAATACAGTCAAATCAGTCTGGTAGAACCCATGTTCCGCCCTTAGTGAATGGGACCAGAGGAGCCCGCACACAGCTGGACTTCCCACCCAACACCACCTACTACTCCATGCATCGCCCCGACCGCTACACCCGCTACAGGTTTTCACTGGCAGCACGAACGCAGCTGGGGATCGGGGAGTTCACCATGGAGGATTCACCGCTGTTCACCACTGAAGGTGAGGCTGGACACACCGTGGTCATCAATGATGGCGATCGTACCATTCTTAGTAAATCTGGAGTAGTGGGAAAGCTTGGAAATTCGATGACTCTCCAAAGTCAACTGTGAATGGCAGCAGTGGGCAGAGACTCTCTGAGGGGCAGGTGCAGGAAGCCTTCGACACATACATTAAAGGGGCAATCTGTACGTTTAAAAGGAGGTTCTGAAATTAGTTTGGGCAAAAGGGGAAGGTGTCCCCCCCCCCGCCCACATGTGCCTGGTGAACACTGGTTAAACAGTAAACTGGTTAGTTCACTGTTTAAAGATTTTAATGCAAGAAACTGAATTGTATTTTCCACTGCGCAAGTAAAAGCAAGATGACCATCTCAAAATACATCCATCCTGTTTTTATCCTTTTTACTTTTTCATTTATTGGAACATAAAACTTTTTACTATCTGACTATCTGATTTATTTGTCCTAAAACTGCTGAGACAATTCAGAATGACTATCAATTAATCTTATCATAAATAATTGAGATTTTAGACTAATATACAGTATCGTTCAAAAGTTTGGAATCGCTCAGAAAATTTTCCATGAACTCAAATTTTTCTTAAATAAGTTGCAACTTTGTTTTCATCAAAGAATCCTCCATCTCAGCAATGCCAGCCTTGCAGTCCTGGGGCATTCTAGCTGTCAGTTTGCTGAGGTAATCCACAGAGATTTCACCCCCTGCTACCTGAAGCTCTTCACATGAGTTAGACTGGCTTGACAGGCACTTCGTTTGTACCAAACGGTCAAGCTGCTCCCTCAGCAGCTCAACAGGATTGAAATACGGCTTTTCCATCCATGTTGTTCTGGCCAGTTTAATCTTTTCTTTTATTGGCCAGTATCAGATAAGGTTTTTTTTCTTTGAAACTTTGCCTAAAAGTTCACCATCCTGGACTCTCTTCACTGTTGAAGATGTGACTGGTGTTTTGCAGGTGTTATTTTAAAAAGCTACCTGCTTAGCAGCTGTGTGGCATCTGCCTGTCAAACTAGAGACTCAGATGTTTTCATTCTTCTGCGTAGTTGTGTATCTGGGCCTCCCACTTCTCGTTCTGTACTCGTTTGAGCCGGTTTGCACTGCTAAGCAAAGGGGGAAGTACGTATCTTTGTAAGATATTTTCAGACATGGCATAGCCCTCATTTTGCAAAACGACAACAGGCTGACAGGCATCTGATGAAAGCTTTTTTCTTTTTGATCATTTTGAGACCATAATCAGAGGTGGGTATTTCAGGTCCAAAGAGTATAAGTCCAGACCAAGATTTTGTTTCAACCAACCAGCTGAATATAAAGTGTCACAGTCACAGAGTACTTAACTGGTTTGTTGACACAAAATCTTGATCTGGATTTTTACTCTCTGAACCTGAACTACCCACCTCTGACCATAATGATTTCTGCAAATGCTGAAGCTCCAGATCCTCTAGTAACAACAAAGGCCAGTTTTATTGCTTCTTTAAACAGCACAATGATTTTCAGCTGTGCTAACATAATTACAATGATGAATTAACCTATTGACATGATAACTTAGGAATAGTTAGGTTAGGAACAGCCAACACAATGTGTCACTGGAGCACAGGCATTGATTCCAAACTTTTGTATGATAGTGTATATAATAAATGGAGATTATACAAATAAACTTAAATCTAATAGAACTCTAACTTCAAGATGTAATACATTGCAATGAGATGAATAGATAGTTGTGTTGTTTTAATCTTTTTATTTTGGTTACATGAAACAGAAAAATGGAAGTGGCAATATAGACATATTTGTATGTTCTGTCTGTTTGTTTCTCTCTGTTACTGTGTGTGATGGAAGCGTTCACTAGGGAACAGGTGGACATTGCCACCCAGGGATGGTTCATTGGACTGATGTGCGCCATTGCTCTGCTGGTGGTCATCCTGCTCATCGTCTGCTTCATCAAAAAGAGCCGAGGAGGAAAGTACCCCGGTAACCCTATCTTCAGCCGAATCTCCGTAAAATGCATGATCCCTGCTTGACTCATTGTCACAGCGTAAAAATTTACACTTCCGTTTCCGCCATTAGGGTAGAACGAACTCATCGACTTTTTTGAATGTGTAATGTAAACAGATGTAATGGACCTAATAAGTTTGCTGAGTGTGTAATTCTCTTCCTTTGTGTCTCCTCAGTTCGGGATAAGAAAGACCTCCCGTTGGATTCGCTGGAACCAAAGGATCAGGATGGTTCTTTTGATTACAGGTTGGTTACCTCTCCTGAAGAAGTTGGTGGACTCTCGATAACTCTATCTGGTTGTCCCTCAAAATAGACTGTTTCCAGGACAGGTCAATGAACGCTACTCCAAACATAAAGAAATTTTAAAATGCATTTTTTGACATATCCAGTACACAGGAAACACTCTTAAGGTACTGCAATGTCATCTTGCAAGCCCCTAGTAAAGTACAGGTCTGTACTGATCTTCAGGCTTCTTAACTAGTTTACCAGTGTCCCTAAACTCTCTTTCAGCTGTAATAATCATCCTACATCCAAGTCTTATCTCAGTAACTGAGATAGTAATTATTTGTTAGACAAATAATTTGCACTATTTTGATAAATATTCATATTTATCCATATACCCACCATCCATCCATCATTTTAATAACCAGTTACCAAACTAATGTTTTGTTGATCTGGAACCTACCCAGTGAACATGTGAAATGCTGGAAACCATCACATAGACACAAGCGCACACACACACACACACACACACACACACACACACACGCACACTTTTACACTAGGAAGATTTTACACCTGCTTAAAGAAAAACACAGAACATGTGCAACCCAACAAATATACGAGAGAGGGATTTTGAACCTGCACCCCTACTGGTGTAGAGCAGCGATGATACCTACTTTTCTAGCTTGCTTCAGTCCCCTCACATTCTCCAGTCACCTGCTTTTTTTTACAGCGCCCCCTATTGCCATTGTCCCAAACTTACCTGAGATGCTATTTTATTTAGAGAACGTGAAACAGCTTGTTTTACACAATGAAGTATTTATGATCACTGGGTGAAGAATATGACTAGTTTCAGGTGTCAGTTAAATGAAATGCAAAATGAAATGAGCAGGATCATTAACAAATTTTGCATCTTGTAAAAATTAATGTCTTAGAAAAAGGCATTTTCTGGGCTGACAGAGGCTATATTAGACCATAACAACATCCATCAGTAAAGTCATGGTCCCTGTTTCTCTACCATTTTCTTAGCTCTTTCTTTGTCCATCTCTCTCCTTTTCTGCTCCATGTTCCGTTTTTTTGTCTTTGCTTCATTCTCCATCGGACTGATGAAGGTCTTTTGAAAGGTATGAAAGTAGTGAAATGTCAACATCATAATTCAGCTAAATGTCATTAACACCAAGATGAACGTTAATTAATCTGAATTTATGCTGCCAGAATTAATCAATTAATAATTAATCCATTAATCACTGAAAGGCCATTAAGTAACACTCCTGGAGTTCGGGGAAACAACACACTTTTTCATTCTGACTTCCTGTTTTGTGCAAACAAAAACACAAGCCAAAAATAATGTTTTCATTCTAGAAGTTCCAGGATTGGGGGATTTGAAAAGGACACTTTCAAAGTATGTTTCATTGAAGGTCTAGAAATTTCACGCAATAAAGGCTGTTGTTATTTTAATGCATCCTTTAGGATAAACCGTGTCTCCACTCTTCCGTATCCCAAACGGTACGTATGGCCCCCTGCAATTAATAAAGTCACAATGTGAGTCATTCTCATCACAGAGATAATCAATTAAAAAAACAACAACAACGAAACATTCAATTGTGTTTGGAGTTTCCAAGTGAATCTCGACCCATCTTTATGTGTGTCCACCATCTGGTCAAATAACACTTTTGGATTCCAGTGCTGGTTTTATTAAGGGAGACTGGGATTTTTAAGTATTTTCAACAGACATTTACATGACAGAAAATGTCTGCTGTGTTCTCAGATTACATGGTAACTCAATACAACCTGACTCATGATTAAAATCAACCTGATTCAAGACGAAACTAAAGCTTATGTTCTGGATCATCATTCTGGCCTGGCAGTGGTCCCAGCTGGTTATGCAACACGTGACATTATAAAATGTCTTTAAAACCTGTAAATGATCTATCATTCATTATGATGTTATGCTTGCACAGAACATGAAAACTCTGACTACTGTGAAATAGGCCATCTGTTTTTATCATGAGAGCAGGTTGTTAGATAAATAGGAAATGATTGTCCTGCTTACTAACCACAGTAAATATTTATACTGCTTCCGTCTTGAAACTAAAAACCTGCTGTTGTCAATATTGTAATCTTTTTCTAATTCAAAATGGGGCTGTTGTTGCTTCATAACCAGCATGTAGTATTAAAAAAGGAGTAAAAAAAAAATCATATTGAAAATATTCACTCTGCATGTCGGACAAGGTAAGTCCTCCCAAACCTTTCTGAACGAAAACTCATGAATCTCTTTGCCCCTTCTGTCACCCCGACCCATCAGTGAGGAGGACAACAAACCCCTGCGGAGCAGCCAGATATCCCTGGACGGCATGGTGAAGATGCAGGACAGCGACGACAGCCTGGTGGACTATGACGGTGGCGATGGCCAGTTCAATGAGGATGGCTCCTTCATCGGCCAGTACGCTGGGAAGAAGGACCGAGACGATAACGAGGGCAACCTGAGCTCAGAGGCCACCTCCCCCATGAACGCCATCTACTCGCTGGCGTAGTCATGGGGTAGACCACCACCTGGCTGAATGGCATATACACCAGCACATACTTATACATTGTGATAGGAGACATGAGTCATTGGAACTCATGGTACATGGGGTTTACCATGACCTGTCAATCAGCAACTGCATAACAAAGATCACCTACTAAATAAATAGCATGACGTGTATTAGTCATTGTCAGTGACTGACAGCCCATGGTAATCCCACGCTCTACCCTCCTTACACCGTCACTAACTCTATACCCAACCCCAAGAAAACTAAAGAGTCCAACCTCTATGAGGTCAGTGTGTCCATCTCCTGCTGTTTCGTCAAAGTCTGCAGATGACTCTTAAACTCGATTCATCAGACCCAGACCTGTTTTTCATGTCAGTCTTTCAACATCGGAGCAGTGCTGTGCATTTCGGGTTCCTTTTCTTCATCTGCAAGGCATGTCCTTCCCTACAAAAGGGAATCCCAGCATTAGCTGAAATATACCAACCACCACGTAAACATTCCAATGTTTCATGATTTGTCAAAATGTAAAGTTACTAATCTGATAACTGTTTATTGTTTTAACATGTAATGTAACACAGTCACAGTATCATCATAAAATAGCAGGATATTCCACATTTCCCTAATATGTCACCTGCATGGAATAATCTTTTAGACAGTTCTTAGACACTCAATTTACACATTTCATAAAACGTGATTCAAAGTAGTGTAACTGTGAAAAAATATCATTTTATTTTAAAAGTTAATTTTCACTTCTTTTTTATTATCTCAGATCTGTTTTTATACTGTTATTCGTGTATGTACGTATGTTTCAGTTTAGATTAGACAGATGATAGATAGGTACAATGTATCCAAAATAGGTCATTCAGGCTCAACAGCAGTAAACGGAAGAGCAGCTGCATAGGTGCTGTCTAAAAGTCTTAATATTTCTGGATTCTGGCATAAAACCCAGCAAGCTTATTCATAATTATGCCTCATTTTTGTATTTTAATGTTTGCTTGTCTCACAAGCCCTGTTGTCGTACATGTGAGCAAAATAATTGAATTCTGTAAAGGAAAGAATTAGCTGTACCTATGGGTGAAAGTGTCATTTATTTCTATTAAAGGTGTTGATAAAGTAAGAAGATATGAATAAGAGGAGTGCATGTTGGTGGGTGCACACTCAGTCCTAAGATCTGAGTTTATTCTTCTAAGTTTATTCTAGCATATCAACAAAGTCTGATGGGCTTTTGAAAACTCTGCATATCTGTAATGACTGTGCTCTATTCAAAGACCCTCCTTTGTGTTTCTCTCTTTAGTCATCAGTGACCAGGGACCCAGAATCCATAGGTACTAGGAATTACATATATAGTTCATTTGATGTTGATTAATGCCAACACTAATTCCAGTTTACATGGGGGATCGTGATAAATGTATTTATCGGTCCATGATCATGCAAAAAAGAGAAGATTGTATTTCCTGTTATGTATTTAAGGGCCTGTTAGTGGAAGAGATTTGGTTAACATTTCCAATAATCTTAAATTCATTTGCATATTTGGTCCTATTTTCCTTACTCTGATCACAAATCATCTTTATTCACAGAAAAACTTTTCTTTGGTAATACTTAGAAATATTGATCCATGATGTTTGTCTTTTCTGTTGGCTTATATAACATGTTCGTAGTCTGTTCTTAAATGTCACAAATAGTTTTGAGTATAATTAGAATTAATATAACAGAATATTAAGAAGTGTGTCAGATGTGGACGTTTGAAATCAAATTGTGTGTGTTTAACATCTTAACAAGTTTATGTCTGAAATTGTTTTTAATTTATGATGCTACAATACAATGATATATGGACATATATATATATATCATTACATTGTCTGTTTTATTGTACAGAAAAGTATGGTGCCTAAAAGTATGTGTTGAAATGTGTAAGTGTAAATGCCAGTATGAAATAAGACAACAAATTTATGTTTAAAAATGTACACTACAAGTTAAAATGTACATTTTGTTATTTATATTCCAGTCACTTTTTTACATTTATCACTTTACCATACTTCTGTGAACATTTTCTAAACTTACAATATACCTATAAATTATGACAGTATACTGAACTTGCAACGCAAAGTGATGTCAAATGTATTCTTCTTGCCCCATATGTTTCTATTCCTCAACCTTTCCATTTTCTTTTATCTCTATTTTCCACTCATCCTCGTTCTTATCTCCCCTTATCCTCCTCCAGCTTTCATTTGACAGTAAAATATTAAGTAATATTGTTCCTGTAAGTTTATTGTGTTAGAATTCTACTAGCCGTGCTCAGGTGTATCAGAACTGCACCATATCAAAGTGCACGTCTGCCTGTTATCATTTTCAGATATATAGCTTCAAAAGTTGCAGTGAAAAGCATCTTTTGCACCATGCCCTGACATAGTTTTCACTGGATTAAGCCTGTGTATGAATAAAACTGTCTGAATTGAAATAAATGTCATTTTGGAATGTGTATTGCTTCAACAAAATATGAAACATATTTATGAGTTTATTAGTTTTATTAGTAAAGTGCAATAAAATGTCATCTGTGGTAACACTGTTAAAAGCAAAAGGCTCACAGTGTAAACGATCAAGCACAGCAAGTTAAAGGAATTCTGTTTGGAAAGCATTATTTCATAACGCATAAACAAGCTTGTAAAAGCTGCAGTTCCTTGACTGACAGTCCCCTGGGAGACACATCCTAAAGCAGTGGGGTTCCTGTGGATGATTTTCTGAGAGCTGAGAAGTGGGATCTAAATGCAGAGCGTGGACTGCATAGGGAAGAGTATTGGGTGGGATAAAGCAGCAGGAATCTGTAGCAAAGGGTTTGATTGAAGGTAACACTGCTAGGTCCTACTTCATGAATCATATTGTCACAACGGACAAAACAATAGATTTTCCAGCAAACCTGAAGAGAACAAAAAAGTGAAGGTGACAGACACCTCTGCTAATATGATAAAATGGTGATTAGCACTGAGTGCAAATCTAAATGTCATATTTTTACACAACAATTACATATGAAAATCATAGATCTTGTAAATGTTCATTAGATAAAATAGCTCAGCATACTCCCAACAATATAAAATGAAAGGCTGCTGTGAAAATACTACTGTTTACTGCAGCGCTGTCTTTTACGAATTTCTCTTTCATGAATTGCAGTCTACCGCTAGAGGGGGCAGCTGACCACGGAAATATACAAGAAAAACAAATCAAATCTCTTGTAACTGGAAGTGAGGAAAATTAACATTTATGATGCGACTTTGTGATGTTCGTGTGTACACGTGACAGTTATGTGGCATACATTTTGGAAGTAGAACTCTGAATTAATAAGGTGACATTTTGTATATAACATGATTCCTAGACAACACACATGTACTGTATCACCACTAACGCTGCGACATGGATACTTGCTGGATGACTGAAGTTTCAAGTCAAGTTTTATTTATTTATTTTTCTTAATAAAATGTATGTTCTGTAAATACACATAAAAATGCACAGACAAATTAAAACTAGAATTCAAAACTGATTTACTTGGGCCTTACATTTTCCAATATCTCAGACATACTTCATGTTACGCAATATCTATCAGCGTCTGCGCATACCCGCTGAAATGGGCATAGGTCAATGTACATTTGCTGCAGATTCAATACAAACTGATAGTGAAGGGCAAAGTTCACTGCTGCAGTGCGAGATCGGCCGACTGTAATTGAAAGGTGGCATCATACAGAACGGACTTAGGCATGCAGTGTTGATGTGGGTGATACAGACAGACTGCGATATGTTTCTGCAGTTTCCATTTTGCAAGAGTACAATGACACGAGGCTGGGGTGGGTAATCACGTGGCGAGACTGGATAAAGTACGTTGGCACCATGAGTAAATAGTGGGGCTGACAGCATGATTTTTTTCATTGCATGTCAAATTTAAAGTCTGATAGAAAATCATTTCACCTTCTGTGTTTAAATCAATCGAACACTTACAGGCTGTTATTAAGCCTATGAAATTTGACAGGATAAGAGCTATCATAAGAACATGATAAAATCCATGATAATAAAAACAGATGGAACACGATAACCATTCTTATAAGCTTAACTGTTGCTTTCACCAGTATGTACCTGGTGGAGTACATTTTGTGATATGAACGTAATTTTCCCGACGATGCTGCATGACAAAGAATGAAAAAACATCATTCACTGAAGGTAGAAAAAATATAACAGGAATAATTTGCAGTAAAAAAAAAACTAAATTCATCATGTGGTTTCTGTACTCCAAACTTATGTTATCCAATCCAATCCAATCCAGCTTTATTTATAAAGCACTTTAAATAACCTGTACAAGACCAAAGTGCTGTACAGTAACAAATAGATAAAACAAAGAACATAAAAACATAATAACATAAAAACATAATATATAACTAACTAAAACAATCAAAAATAAAAGCGCAACAACAAACATCTCATTAGGTGTTAAAGGCCAGAGTATAGAGATGGGTTTTCAGAAGTGATTTAAAAACAGACAAAGAAGAGGCCTGTCTGATCTCTAACGGGAGATCATTCCAC